AATCTAACACTGTTTACGTACTACACAGTCCGTTGACAATGCAACAAATTGTTCCTTATTTACACTTTCACTTTCGACACAACATTTTTTGAGTCTAAATTACCATCTTCAGGTGTCTTACTATGCTAAAACTGCTACCCTACATTATTATTGTTCATTCGACACATATCCGCCTGCACACTTCATGGTTTAAAACGTCATACTCGTAGTCAATTGGTATGCGCTAAAAGAGCACACGCTGTAGTTCACTTAATTTAAATCAAATAAAATCTATTAAAATTTTCTATTAAAAGTTCCTTTAAATTTATAAAATTCTTATTACACCCCATAAGGGGAGTCGTCCACTTGTTTAGAACTCTATCATTTACTTCAGATGTTTTACTGCAGCTCTATGTTTTTCATTTCGTAAGCCCGTTGTTGTGTTACGTCTGCAATCTGTAATTTTGTCCCTTGCTTGTGCGTTGTTCCCTCTAGCAGCGTGTGGTGTTGTCTTCACTTGAGTAGATGTCAGGATTGCAAATGGAGTTAATGGTCAGAGAGTTTGAACAATTAATATGTAGGATAAGTAATTAGGGTTGGAAAGGAACACGGGAGGAAGGAGGGTAGAAAAGAAGGAATATTTATAAGAGATTTATGGTTGAATTTTCAACGGTCCTTTTTAACTAGTATCTTAAAATATATAATATCATTTTGCTGCCCGTGCAATAAGAACGCAATTGCGCTCGCATTTCCTAGTCTTCATTGTTGCTCCAATTTCTTTTTAATTTAAGGGCAGAGGCATTCGTAAATAGATTTATACCCTTCTGCCTATCTAGATAGCACGTATATCATAAGGTAGCCGCATTTTCGGACCACAAAACCCTCAAACAATAGATCACGCTTCTCTTTCCTTCACAGAGCAATAAACTGCGTTCATGTCTAGGACATCGATACTGTGAATTTATACGTATGGTTGGATGAAATCCGCACTGCTGAAATCCTAGTCGCGAAGGAAGAGAGAGAGGCTGACAGACAGATAAAGCTTAATATAAAGCACACAAAAATAAATATGTGTAAACAACCACTTGTCCTTACCATTATCCTGTTGGGTCCTGGAAATGTCCTCAGCGGATGTGCAGCTCTGAAAAGGCGATAGATGACTCTGGGCCCACTGCAAGCCAGTGGGAGTGCACGGTCCCATGCGTGACCTTGCATTACTCGTGCGTTGTTAACAATTCTGCATTACAACAGACTCATAAATTTTCTTTATTATCCTTCAATTTTCGTTAATTTGAATTCATATATATTTGTGTGTAAGAGGTGGTGATATTCTACAGAGTGAATCGTATAGAACCGGCCCGATGAATTTGCCAATAATTCCGCAGGTGCTGCATATAACCGCTCACAATTACGACATAATAATCCGTGGGCCGTGCTGAGTCGACTATACACCACTACACCCACAAAAAGTGGGTGTGTGGTGCGCCATTTCTGGTTTATGAATCATTGGACCGATCTTCTTCCACACGACCGTGGACAACACCTTATAGTGCCGTATTTTTTGAGATTTCGTGCAGCAGCTGGATGATGTGGAACTTATACAGGGTTATTTTCAGCAAGATTCAACGACGTGCCACATGTCCATGGAACTGATTGAGAGCTTCTTCCCCAATCACGTCATCTCTAAAAAGATGTGGCCCCCAAAATCCCCCGACCTTACCAGCCCGGATTTTTTTCTCTGGGGTTTACTGAAGGACGGGTGTATGCAAACAAACCGCGTACGTTACAGGATTTAAAGGACAACATTTCGGCTGAAATCAGGAACATCACTGAAGAAACACTGCAGCGAGTCACGGCGAATATTCAAACGCGGACACTTTCAACACCTGCTCTGATCACGGCACACAATCCAAGATAAGATATGTGTAAATTACTTTAATATCTGTGTGGTATATTTTATATTACAGCTCATTTCGTCGGGTCGGTTCTATATGAATCACCTTGTAGATTCTTCCTATATATCTTACTTTAAATTTACATGCCTGAATCTGCATCCTTGAGAGCAGAACTGAATACAGTGCGATGTTACGACAACAGCAGGTTCTTGTAAAGGTACTGAGGAGATTCTATCTTTGTTATTATGTTGTCACCCCTGAAATGAATTAAAATCTCAAATATTTTGTCATCATCATCAATTCCGTCAGAGACATGACCACTTTAATTACCATCGTAACCAGACTGCCAAAGCAAGTGAGCTTTACAGGTTTCATTGTTTAATATTCTCTTCAAAGTTCATCGTTTTTGCTTCTTTCCACTCTCTCTCTGCTTCAGTATTAATTAAATAGTCAACCTTTATTATTCTGTCGTTACTGCTAATCATTTTCACTCAAGTAGCCTGCCGCTCTGCATCTCGCTAATGTGGCAAATACGTTTATATTAGGAGGCCCCTCTCTCACTTCCTCTCTTCACCCTGACAAAGGGAGTCAGTCTCTCAATATTCTGATAATCTGGTAAATAGTGTTTAAGTGGTATGTATCCTCTCTCACACTGGGCAACTTTAGTTCTCTTAAGCATACTGCCTTTTGCATTCTGTCAATGTGGCGAATCAGTTCCTCTTATAAATCGTGTCTATCTGGATTCTGACTCTGGGCATAACACGTCCTTTTAAAGAGCTTCTCTTTTCCAATCATATGAAATTTGAGTGTCGAGTTCTATCAAACACCCCAGTATCATAGTGCGGCTGGAAGGATTAGGTTAATTGAAAAATCAAATTACCTAATCGGAAATCGAACCCACCACCTTCCGGCTTGTAAATAATGCCTCAACCAACTACCGGCGAGGATCACAAACTATTGGAATGGATTAAAGAATGAAAAGAACTGAGAAAGGCGCTGAGGAAGAAAAGAACAGTCTTCCACAGACCGACATTCGGTTGTTCTTCCCAGGAGACTGGTTAGGCATGTAGACGAGTGATATACTTGTTATATTTTAGCGTCCTGTTGCACTGATTTATGTCCATGATTTCTTCTGACCGTCTTACAGTGCATACATTTATTCACCTTACTCTTCTCTCTTGCACTACATGTTTCGGCACTAAAGTGCCATCTTCAGGTGCTTTTCGATGTACGTCGAACTACTTCATTGCATGCCCTGTTGTTTATTAAAATTTAGGCTATATTGACATTGCAATGTAATAGTTTACGTTTACAATTCATGTATTTGTATACGCTTCTAGTATGACTACTATTAATAATGTTATATTTTAGCGTCCTGTTGCACTGATTTATGTCCATGATTTCTTCTGACCGTCTTACAGTGCATACATTTATTCACCTTACTCTTCTCTCTTGCACTACATGTTTCGGCACTAAAGTGCCATCTTCAGGTGCTTTTCGATGTACATCGAACTACTTCATTGCATGCCCTGTTGTTTATTAAAATTTAGCCTATATTGGCATTGCAATGTAATAGTTTACGTTTACAATTCATGTATTTGTATACGCTTCTAGTATGACTACTATTAATAATGTTATATTTTAGCGTCCTGTTGCACTGATTTATGTCCATGATTTCTTCTGACCGTCTTACAGTGCATACATTTATTCACCTTACTCTTCTCTCTTGCACTACATGTTTCGGCACTAAAGTGCCATCTTCAGGTGCTTTTCGATGTACGTCGAACTACTTCATTACATGCATCTGAAGATGGCACTTTAGTGCCGAAACATGTAGTTCAAGAGAAAAGAGTAAGGTGAATAAATGTATGCACTGTAAGACGGTCAGAGTGACATACATTTTGGGGGGAATTCACACTGTTTTACTTGAAACTGTACAATAGTGTACAATGTACGGAAGTCTTATGGATACTACTGTACGTCTGCAACATTGCCACTACAGGCACTGAAACATCCAGAGAATCAAAAACAATTCAGATTCCTGTAGAGATATATACAGTAAATATGCCAAATATGGCGGAGAATACAGCGTTTCATACTGATATTCCTTTTATTTGCGTAGATAGGTCGAACATAGAAGAAGTTAGAACAGTCTTTCACATACTCTACGCTGTACGCCAGACTGCAGCCACCTGCTCACGCTCTTTACTTGATCGCGGACTTTTCTACCCTGAAGATGAAGGCGATACGTTCTTCGGAAACTTCAGTTCACAAAAGAACTACACGGTGCCACATCCCAGAAGACAGCGTTCTTCAAAGTTATCGCCGCGAAAACCTCAAACCTTACAAGTCATATACTCATATATTGTTCTGAAAATGATTTTTGCAACTCTGATTGGCTCCAAACATCGAATTATTGTGACAGAAAATGATTAAGATTGTCAAAATTAGTAGAAAATATTTGCGATGAGTAATTATTTACTTTCTCTCATTGTGGCAGTTTACAAGCAGCAATATTTATTTAGCTTGTAGGGTTTCAGATGCTGTTAATTCATGTTTCCATCAATAATCCATGAACATGGGAGCCTAAAACCATGGGAGATATCAGAGATACAAATTTTAAATAGACTTCAAAGGGTTCTGACGATGGTGTATGCTCTACAGAACTATAAGGTTTATTTTGGACTCTATCCATCGTCTGGTATATATAAGACAAAAACCACAACGTTTCGGAGACTGGATCTGTCTCCGTCCTCAGGTGGATGGGGTAAGATAGACTACTCAGTTGGGCTCGTTAGAAAGAGCTAGTCTCAATCACTATATTGTGCAGTCCAGTGATTGAGACTAGCTCCTTCTAACGGGCTCAACTAAATAGGTCTATCTTGCCCCATCCACCTGAGGACGGAGACAGATCCAGTCTCCGAAACGTTGTGGTTTTTTGTCGTATATATACCAAACGATGGATAGAGTCCAAGATAAACCTTATAGTTCTATATACAAATTTTAATTGGGTACTCTGAAAAGAAGACTACATGTAAGACCTGTATATAGGCAGGAGGATAATATTAAACTGATTTTAAGAATTGTTTGTGAGGATGTGGACTGGATTTATCTGAATATTACTGTATTCTTGGATATAACTCCATACATAAATCGTTACCCAACCATCTTCAGGTCTTCATTTACTATCTTGAAGATGGGGACAGCAGGTTCCTCCGAAACGCTTGTAAAAATCCACCGGACTGCTTGGTATCGTATTCTAGAAGGCTTTAATATTCATAACCGCCTCCGTGAGAACCTCAAATCTGACACGGATTCATCTGGCACAGGATAAAATTTAACGACGAGGATCACGTGAAGGTACTACTGAACCCTCAAGCGTGGAGTGTTCAGTTTCTTGGTTAGCTGAGCGGTTATTATCTTCTCAAGTAGTTTTATTATATTTAACAAGAATTCGACAATTCCTGTCCTGCCCAGGAATCAACAGCTCCATTTTGTACATCTCTTCAGTTAGGTAACCATGGGAACGGGATGCTGAATGTGGGGAGGGGATACAGCTGCTGGACCAATGTGAAAGGATCCGTGGCTAAGGGGGTAGGGTTGCTTCTCCAATGAGATACAGCCTGTCATAGGAAAATGGGAGGCGCCAGGCAGGGACACATGTGGCTACATGACGTACCGAAATGTTTCTTTTGGGGTGCTGTGTGGGCGGATGTAGTATCTGTGCCCTGGAAGCATCCGCTAGTTACCTAATTGTGCCCAAGAACAGAGGGCTTGCTGCACAAGCATCGGTACAGTGAGTGGCGTGGTCTTGGGGAGCCGCATGTTTTCTAGGAAGACGAGTTCGTGTACTCAAGAATGAAACTGAGAAGGACATCGAAGGATCTGAGTAAGAAGGCACAAAGGAGATACTGAACTTCGATAGAACTGCCGAGATTACCCAACAAAAAGCTTTGAAACCTGGCTCAGCTTTGCAGAATTTTTGTAGTTTCGGTAGTTCACTTCTGAGGCGACAGCTCGCCGTCTGGAAATCCACGTTTCTGGTACCTGGAGCAGCAGGTTCGTGTCATAATCAATATAAAAGACATAAAATTTAGGCTTAAATTGTTCACTTTTATTCGTGATTGCAAAATGTTTAGAATTTGTCCTTCTTCTGGTATTCTGAAGAACATAACGTTTCGGCAAACGGATATATTCTAGTCCTCAGGCGATAGGGCGGAAGGTACCTATTATAAATGACACAAATTCCGTCCCAAGTGCAAACAATATATATTNTTAGTCCTCAGGCGATAGGGCGGAAGGTACCTATTATGCCTGATCCAATAGACAGAGCGAATATCAATCACTAGATAACCAATATAGGTGTAACTGGCTCTACACATCCATCTGAACGGCAGATAATAGGAAAACTTACACAATCTGTGAAATGTATCGGTGTTTGTGCATTTGATTTCACGCAATCTTAGATGAACGTATAGATGTACTTGTACTGACTTGGTTTGCCCAGTGATTTAGGTTAACTCTTTCTAACGACCTAAGAGGACAGGTGCATCAAATCCTTTCATCTGAAGTTGAAAACAGATTCAATTTCTCAGACGTTGTGTTACGTGGAATGCGAGACTCTGGTCAAGTTGGAAACAGTTGGTAATCCCTTTAACACTGACGTTTACTTTCACGTTAGGTTTAAGGTTCTTACTGCGCTGACGATGGNTATTATGCCTGATCCAATAGACAGAGCGAATATCAATTACTGGATAACCAATATAGGTGTAACTGGCTCTACACATCCATCTGAACGGCAGATAATAGGAAAACTTACACAGTCTGTGAAATGTATCAGTGTTTGTGCATTTGATTTCACGCATTTATTTTCCACTTCCTTTCCTTTCTTAGTTTTAGATCTTTCTACGAATTTCCAAAGATTTGTTTCTGCAAAACTTTCTGATATTGCCCTTTCAAAAATCTTAGATGAACGTATAGATGTACTTGTACTGACTTGGTTTGCCCAGTGATTTAGGTTAACTCTTTCTAACGACCTAAGAGGACAGGTGCATCAAATCCTTTCATCTGAAGTTGAAAACAGATTCAATTTCTCAGACGTTGTGTTACGTGGAATGCGAGACTCTGGTCAAGTTGGAAACAGTTGGTAATCCCTTTAACACTGACGTTTACTTTCACGTTAGGTTTAAGGTTCTTACTGCGCTGACGATGGCACGTGATGCCATGTGTACTCTGGTAGAGACTTACCAAGACTTTAGAGAACCATGCTACCTCTATTTTAAGACGTAAGAGCGACAGAGCCAGCAGGTTGAGTCAGAATATATGCCAGACAAAATGGCGTCATATGCAAAGAAGACTAATATTTATATACTTTCAGTTTCCTGAAATTTGTCTTTCGTAAAATATCTGTTATTATGCTCAAAATTTCAAAATTGAACACTAATCTGAGCCATTTAAATGAACGCCACCTTCACACACTATTTCTCTGCATGCAATTTATACTTAAAGCCCCAGCTAGATTTAAATCCCACAGGTTGTCTCTGTCTTTGACCTTTTCTGTCCCATAACTTGTATACGTTTCCCATTTCCTCCAGGTATGTGAGACCCAAAATGTCCCGCTCGTGAATTATTGTAGCGTTGGACAGACCTAGGGGACAGAAAATATTCCTTTAGAGTTAGAATCTACAATTAACTGCAATCCGTTACTGAAATTGTAATAAACATGCCTTAATATCAGAATAACGTTAGTTGCTCGCTTGATTGGTAATTTTTATTAGTTCTCATTAATGATGATGTGGAATATATAAGTCATTGCAATTTAGAATGTCGTATAACATGACAAGGAATATGTATAGGCCTTCAAAGAAGAGATACAGGCATTTAATTGTAGACACCTAATGTAGAATGTAGAAATGCGACTAAGGGACAAGGCTATTGTATTTGTAGAAATCCCACGTAAAGGTAAGGTAAATTTGTCCCTGTGTTTAACTAATTAAGCACTACGCCATGAAGGTGTCTGGGGGAGTGGATGTATAGATCCACATTTTCTTGATTTCGGCACTAGCTGGAAAATTGATCAGCTTCACGCCCCGGAAGGTTTACACTCGGAGAATGAACACTCCTGTACCTATTGGATAGGAGGTTGGGTGTACCCCAAAGTCGGTCTGGACGTGGAGAAGAGAAAATTCTTTGCCCTAACGGGACTCGAACTCCGAACCCTCGGTCATCCAGCCCGTAGCCAATCACTATACGGGCTACCCTAACCGTTA